CTGACCTCCTTTCAGTGTCCTCCACCCTCTCTGCCAATCCCTCCACTGGCTTCCATTCAGTGTCCTCCATCCCTCTCTGCCAATCTCTCCATTGACTTCCCGTTGCCCAACGAATAAAATTCAAAACATTAGCAATAACATATAAAGCCATTTATAACTCCGCCCCCAAATTACATCACCGATCTTGTCTCCAAATATCACCCAAACCGTCCTCTCCGCTCCTCCCACGACCTCCTGCTCTCTAGCTCCCTTGTCTCTTCCTCCCATGCTCATCTCCAGGACTTCTCCTCCAGAGTCTCCCCCATACTCTGTATACTGGCAATATTCAATATATTTTTTTTAACATATAAAAAAGTCATTTTAACCAATTTAATACCAGGCAATTTTACACCTGCCTGCCCAGGCCATTTTTCAGGTTTCAGCGCTCTCACAATTTGAATGACAATTGCGCGGTCATACAACACTGTACCCAAACTAAAATTTTATCATTTTCTTCACACAACTAGAGCTTTCTTTTGGTGGTATTAATCACCGCTGGGGTTTTTATTTTTTGCTAAATTTAACAAAAAAAGACCAAAAATGTTTTTTAAAAAAACCCCTTTTTTCTTTGTTTCTGTTATAAAAGTTTACAAATAAATAATTGTTCTTCATAACTTTAGGCCGAGATGTATTCTGCTACATATCTTTGGTGAAAATAACCCAAATTAGGATGTATTATTTAGTTTGTAGGAAAGTTATAGAGTTCACAAACTATGGTATAGATCTGAATATTGATCAATCCTGAAGTACTGACAGCCAATCTAATTTCTTGAGGTCCAAGAATGTCAGAACAGTACAGATATCCCCCAAATGTCAGGACGGTACAGATATCCCCCAAATGTCAGGACGGTACAGCTATCCCCCAAATGTCAGGACGGTACAGATATCCCCCAAATGTCAGGACGGTACAGATATCCCCCAAATGTCAGGACGGTACAGCTATCCCCCAAATGTCAGGACGGTACAGCTATCCCCCAAATGTCAGGACGGTACAGATATCCCCCCAAATGTCAGGACGGTACAGCTATCCCCCAAATGTCAGGACGGTACAGATATCCCCCAAATGTCAGGACGGTACAGTTATCCCCCAAATGACCCCTTTTTGTAAAGTAGACAGTCCGACGTACTTCATAAGAGGAATGGCGAGTTTTTTGAAGTTGTATTTTTTTTTGTCATTCTTCGGAAAATGAAAAAATGAGAAATTATTTTCACTATTTTTTTTTTTTTTACATACTGTCACCAGTGCAGTACAGCGTCATCATATAACTGGCATGGCAGTGATCAGGGACACTGACTGGTGACAGTATGAAAAAAATATATTTTTTTTTTTTAAAAAAAATTTATTTTTAATTTTTTATTACTTTTTTTTTTTTTTTTTTTATAAGTTTTTTTTTTTTCATATTTTGCTATGACCAAAGAAGTACAATATTACTATAGTAAAATTGTACTACTTTGGGGAAGTGATCAGTATTTTTTTTTTTTTTTTTTTTACACAATTTGCTTATAGCAAAGAATTACTTTGCTATAAGCAAGCATTTACCTGAATGACATCGATTCATTCAGGGTTTTTTTTTTTTTTTTTTTTTTTTTTTTTTTTTTTTTTTTTTTTTTTTTTTTTTACTTAGCTGTGATTTGGCCACAGCTAGTCACATGACATGTGCATGTGATCGCTGTGACCATTCACAGCTAGACACTAGTATACAATGGATGGCATGAATGAAGCCGTCCATTGTATACAACTGTCATGTGACCTGCTGTGATTGGTCACAGCAGGTCACATGGTACGGGCAACGGGGCCGATACTCAGATCTGTCATCGGCCGTGTCCGAGGTACATGGCCGGTAAACAGATCGCTCTGCAAGCGCAAAAACTGCATGTGCGGAAGGATGCCAAATGGCGTCCACCCGGAAAGCTAGTGCATTTTTGCGGCCGCCAAACGGCCATTGGCCGGGCGGCCAATGGGTAACATATATTTTTACATATATTTGTAAATGAATTCCAAAAATGTAGATTTGTATTTTTAAAGACATACAGTATATTTGAAATGTAATTTTAAAAATATTTTTCTTATATTGTGTAATAAAAATGCATTTCAACATGCAGTGTATATATATATATTTATTGAAATATATTTTGACATATATTAAATATGGCCAAAATTGTAGCATTTCAAATATATGTCAATATATTTTGGAAGAATATTTAAAAAATATATTTCAAATGTATTTTTCTTCCATGTGGGTTGAAAGCGCTCTACCGGCGAACCTTCACTCTAAAGGGCCCAGTTTGCAGCAACGCCACGCGGTTTTCAGCAACTGGGCTCCATGTCAAATGAATGTCCTCTTCTTTTTACGAACGATTCGAAAGACATGAAAAAGCTATCTTTCTTCTGCATAATGACACCATAAATTAATTGCTAATTAGGGCTCGCATGTTTCCAAAGACGATCGCTGTGTTTTCAGAAAAAAAAAAAAACAACAAATCACAGAGTTGAAATAATTATTGCTTTTTCGTTCGCCTTCATCTTGAAGGTTCATAATTATACACTGATGTAGAAATCCAATTAATAAAAGTGAGTGTATGAAAAAACAAAAAGGGCTCCCTGGAAAAAGGGTCGGGTCAGCGATGACTGTCTCTACCTTCGGCTTTTGATGAGAAGAACAAACCGACTTTGCGATGCGCGCCACATGCTACACAATTGCGGATAATTGAGGCATCGGCGAGGAAACGTTCCCCCTCTGCTTGTTTTGATATTTATGTGAAAAGGCTTTGGGCACTGCCTTTGCAAAAACGTTATATTTATAGATATGGCGCTGACCACCATTGTGTATTGATTGAGACATCCCAGGGGGAAAATGTGAAAAGGATGGAATGCAATGTAAAAATTAAAGTGTATTTCTAGCCAAAACTTTTTTTTTTTTTGATTGGAGATGAGAAAAATTGGTTTCTCTCTTGGTACAAATTTACCAAAAATTTGACAAAAGAGTAAAAAAGGAAAATTTTAATTAAAAATGAAAATAAATTAAAAAAATGTAATTAAATGAAAAATGAAGTCCTGCTAGTGCTGTGTTACACTATTTGATTTATTATTATTTCTCTGTGACCATTACTTGTTTAATATTGCTCTGTGTCTTTAAGCTGCCTCCTCCTTTCTAAGCTGAGCGCTTTCTCTCACCGTACCTGTGTATATCCCCCCCCACCCTACCTCTCTCTGTAGACATTTCACTGTATCCTGTTTTTCTGAACGCATCTTTCCATGAGACTTACAACATTCCCGTTTTTCTACCTGTGATTATTCTCCATTAAACGGAACATTCGAATGGGTTTCCTCATCTGACTTCCTCAACATGTGAGTTTATTCATTGAGTTAAACTGTCTGACCTGATGCTAGAGATAGATTCAACACCATGTGGTATTGCTGTATACGTTGTTGGAGATAAAGTTTATCGTCCTGTAGTTGAGTCAGAACAGCTAGTGTGGTCCTAAAAGGAATTAAAAAGTACAAAAAAAGTAAAAAAAATTTAATTAAAAATGAAAATAAATAAAAAAAAAAAGTAAATAAAAAATTAAAAGTGAAGTCCTGCTAGTGAGCTCCCTTAATTTTAATTAAAATGACAGGGGCGCAATGTGAAAAGTATGGAATGCAATGTAAAAATTAAAGTGTATTTGTAGTCAAACCTTTTTGGTTAGAGATGAGAAAAACAGCAGGCAAAGGCAGTAAAGAGGCCAGGAACTTTTTGTTTAAGTCTTGTTCTACTTTAACCCCTCACCTTCCAGAGGATTCCCCCCCCCCCCCCTCCTGACCGGGCCATTTTTTTGTAATACAGCGCTGCGTTATTTTAACTGACAATTGCGCGGTCATGCAACCAAATAAAATTTATGTCCTTTTTTCCCCCACAAATAGGTTTCTTTTGATGGTATCTGCGGTTTTTATTTTTTGCGCTATAAAAAAAATACCAAAACAATATTCTGACTTTTTGCTATAAAACCTATCCAGTAAAAAAAAAAAAATAAATAAAAATTTCCTCATAAATTTAGGCCAAAATGTACTCTGCTCCGTGTCTTTGCTAAAAAAAAAATCCCAATACATGTCAATTAACTGGTTATGTGAAAGTTATAGCGTTTACAGAAGGCGGTATAGATACTGGGATTTTTATTAAAAAAATGTTTTAGACTAGTAATGGCGGCGATCAGCGACTTATAGCGGGACTGCAGAGGGCATTCTGACACTGGGGGAGGAACTAACTGCCACTGACACCAATACAGTGATAATTGCTAATAAAAAGCACTGACATTGTACTAATGGCACTGTGCAGGAAGGGGTTAACATCTGGGCGATCAAAGGGTTAACTGTGTGCGTTTTACTGTGTAAGCATGCTATGCAGAGAGATACAAAGCAGCATGCTGGAGCTGACAGGGGAAGATCTGTATTGTTTGCATACAGACCTCTCCCCTGTCAGTGTTCCTCGGCAATTGCCAGATGCCGGCAGGGAATCTCCAGCTGGGATGCGGTCCTTGGCAGCTGAAGTCACCAATGGTGCGCAAGTGCCCCCTACCCGAAAATACAAAATCACACACATATATATATAACAGTATCTCCCAGAAGTGAGTCCACCCCTCACATTTATGTAAATATTTGATTCTCTCTCTTCATGTGACAACACTGAAGAAACTACACTTTGCTACAATGTGACGTAGTCAGTGTACAGCTTGCATAACATGTAAATTTGCTGTCCCCTCAAAATAACTCAACACACCGCCATTAATGTCTAAACCGCTGGCAACAAAAGTGACTCCACCCCTAAGTGACAAGGTCCAAATTGGGTCCAATTAGCCATTTTCCCTGCCTGGGGTCATGTAACTCGTTAGTGTTACAAGGTCTCAGGTGTGAATGAGGAGCGGGTGGGTTACATTTGGTGTTATCGCTCTCACTCTCTCATACTGGTCACTGGAAGTTCAACATGGCACCTCATGGCAAAGAACTCTCTGAGGATCTGAAATAAAGAATTGTTGCTCTACATAAAGATGGCCTAGGCTATAAGAAGATTGCCGAGATCCTGAAACTGAGCTGCAGCATGGTGGCCAAGACCATACAGCAGTCTAACAGGACAGGTTCCACTCAGAACAGGCCTCTCCATGGTCGACCAAACAGGTTGAGTGCACGTGCTCAGCGTCATATCCAGAGGTTGTCTTTGGGAAATAGACGTATGAGTGCTGCCAGCATTGCTGCAGAGGGTGAAGGGGTGGGGTGTCAGCCTGTCAGTGCTCAGACCATACGCCGCACACTGCATCAAATTGGTCTGCATGGCTGTCATCCCAGAAGGAAACCTCTTCTAAAGATGATGCACAAGAAAGTCCACAAACAGTTTGCTGAAGACAAGCAGACTAAGGACATGGATTACTGGAACCATCCTGTGGTCTGATGACATCAAGATCAACCTGTTTGGTTCAGATGGTCTCAAGCGTGTGTGGTGGCAACCAGGTAAGGAGTACAAAGACAAGTGTGTCTTGCCTACAGTCAAGCATGGTGGTGGGAGTGTTGTGGTCTGGGGCCGAATGGTGGTGGGAGTGTCATGGTCTGGGGCTGCATGAGTGCTGCCGGCACTGGGGAGCTACAGTTCATTGAGGGAACCATGAATTCCAACATGTACTGTGACATACTGAAGCAGAGCATGATCCCCTCCCTTCGGAGACTGGGCCGCAGGGCAGTATTCCAACATGATAACGACCCCAAACACACCTCCAAGACCACCACTGCCTGGCTAAAGAAGCCGAGGGTAAAGGTGATGGACTGGCCAAGCATGTCTCCAGACCTAAACCCTATTGAGCATCTGTGGGGCATCCTCAAACGGAAGGTGGAGGAGCGCAAGGTCTCTAATGTCCACCAGCTCCGTGATGTCATCATGGAGGAGTGGAAGAGGACTCCAGTGGTAACCTGTGAAGCTCTGGTGAACTCCATGCCTAAGAGTTAAGGCAGTGCTGGAAAATAATGGTGGCCACACAAGATATTGACACTTTGGGCCCAATTTGGACCTTGTCACTTACGGGGTGGACTCACTTTTGTTACCAGCGGTTTAGACATTAATGGCGGTGTGTTGAGTTATTTTGAGGGGACAGCAAATTTACATGTTATACAAGCTGTACACTGACTACGTCACATTATAACGAAGTGTCATTTCTTCAGTGTTGTCACATGAAAAGAGAGAATCAAATATTTACAAAGATGTGAGGGGTGGACTCACTCCTGGGAGATACTATATATATATATATATATATATATATATATATAGTATGTGTGATTTTCAGCAGCCCTGCCACCCTGTAGCAGTAGTCCTGCTATAGGGCGGTCAAGAAACGCTTAGACAAGTCTTGTTCTTCTTTAGGCCAGGTTTAGACCTACATCTAAACCTGCTTGTAGACAGGTGCAGCTAGCTACTCTGCCACTAGTTGGCTCTGTTCCAGAATAGTGACTGTGTTACAGAAGGCAGTGTCATCAGGTGCTAGGCCTCTTTTCGGTAGCACCCTCCAGTAGTGATGTAATGGGTGAGTCAGTGCCAGGATATACGCCAGGTTGGGAGGAGCCCTCGTTTAGTTGGGGCATGGGAACCAGACACCCCTCATCTATGCAGATGTAGTCTGCAAGTGGAAACTCTGGACAGGGCCAGAGGCCAGGGAGAGGTAGATCTGCACCCAAAAGAGCCTGCTGTGGACTATCTGACCCTAATGGAGGTAGGGGATAGGAAGGGTTGCAAAAGCCTTTTAGGCCAGGCCAAGAGTTCCCTGGAGGGTCCCAAGAGAGTTGTACCTATAGAGGATGTGACTAGAAAGATCCAATCTCAGTGAGTACTAATGAGCGGGGGGAATGAGACTGTTAAGGGAAGATGGCTTACTTAAAGGGCTGCATGATGCTTTCACATGTAAATACTGTGGACCGTCATTAAATGTGATTGAGAATGTACTGTCAAGTGACCCTGGATAGTATATCAATGTGATGGGACTGTTATGCCATTTTCCAAGTACCACCAGTAAAGTGAAGCTACTCTACTTCTGTGTGGACATTCCTTCCTTTGGGGACAACAGCCGATTGCCTCTCAGGGGATCAGGAAGGAATTATTTCCCCCTGCGGGAGCAAATTGGATCATGCTTTGCTGGGTTTTTTTGCCTTCCTCTGGATCAATGGTGGGTGTAGGATTATAACCTTTTTTAATTCTATGGTTGAACTCGATGGACTTTGGTCTTTTTTCAGCCAGACTAACTATGTAACAGCTGCGAATGTTGGGAAGAGGCCTCTGGCATGGAGTGGGCACAAGATGGCGGAGGGTCACTGTTCTAGCAAGGGAGGAGTGGAGCAGGAACTTGTACTCTTGGCACCAACACCTAGCCAATCGCAAAGCCCCCTTACATACCACTGTTGGATCACTTTTCATAGGTGATTGGCAGGCGGTGAGGAGGGGATGTGCCACCATCTCACTGCTTTCTTTAGCTCCATTTTTGCTAAACAGACGAGCTGCAACCACAAACATTGCATGAGATTGTTTGCCGTGCCTCCCCGTTTGCTTGGATGGGTCACATGCAGGGGCGGACTGACCATTTGGAAACTCGGGCACTGCCCGGGGCCCAGGGTCAGTAGGGGGCCCCATGAGATGCCCCTGGTACCTTTTTCATAGGCTTTTTTGAGTTTGGGCAAGGACACGGGCCCCGTGATTCCATATTGCCCGGGGGCCCCATGAGTTGTCAGTCCACCCCTGGTCACATGACAGCTCAACACCCACAGAGGTAAGTACAGTGGGCACCAGGGGGCGTAGGAAGGGTGTACAATGTTAAATAACCTTTTCATTTCTCCTGAAAAGGTGAACTAACCCTTTGAACTGGTGGCCACCAACAGGCCTTCATGACAGATGAACCACATTAGCTGAATCAATACATCATGGCCGAAGGAACTGCAGTGCATCCATCCTCCTTCACAGCCACAGATAACGTCTTGCTGATGAAATGTCTACAGGAGATCCACGCTTTTCTGCTGAAAAAAGAAAAATCTCCGAGCTTTGCTCTGCCCATCCCATACATCTCCCTACTACATTGCTCTTCGGTTTATCACAGTTCAAGTCTTCTTTCCTTGACTCTAACCCGGAGGCTCCGATACCTCCTAGTGAAAGTTAAATTGCGCTCTGCGTCTCAGCGGATCGCCGCACAACGTGCTGTTTACATGAGCGGATGTGAAATCCTGCAACATCCCCCCCCCTCCCCCTACAAAAAGAGCATCTGAGATAGACTGCTTGTCTTATCGGGGGAGTCAACGCTCCGTATTATTCTCCTTGTCACCGTCCTGCGCTATTTTTTTTATTTTATTATCATTGAAAGCAAACAACTGTCTTGTTAGCCCGAGCCTCAGGAACATGCTTCATACTTCATTGACTTCCAAAGGAATCCTCTACTTTGAAGGATTCAGAAATGAGAAGGCCAATTTCAGAGTTTCTTTACTGATTCCCTGTGACTCCTCCAGGCGCTTAACTGAAGCAGCGAAAGCATGAGAAAAGCTGAAAGAGGGGAAAAAAAGAGAAAAAATGGTTTTAAAGAGGGAAAAAAACCCAAGGTATAGCAAGTCATCTTAAAAGTGTTACTAAAGCTGGGACCCTGCATTCCCTATATCTGGTCTCCCCGGACCCCGCATTCACTATATCCGCTCTCCCCGGACCCCGCATTCACTATATCCGCTCTCCCCGGACCCCGCATTCACTATATCCGGTCTCCGCGGACCCCGCATTCACTATATCCGGTCTCCCCGGACCCCGCATTCACTATATCCGCTCTCCCCGGACCCCGCATTCACTATATCCGCTCTCCCCGGACCCCGCATTCACTATATCCGCTCTCCCCGGACCCCACATTCACTATATCCGCTCTCCCCCGGACCCCGCATTCACTATATCCGCTCTCCCCGGACCCCGCATTCACTATATCCGCTCTCCCCGTACCCCGCATTCACCATATCCGCTCTCCCCGGACCCCGCATTCACCATATCCGCTCTCCCCGGACCCCGCATTCACCATATCCGCTCTCCCCGGACCCCGCATTCACCATATCCGCTCTCCCCCGGACCCCGCATTCACCATATCCGCTCTCCCCTGACCCCGCATTCACCATATCCGCTCTCCCCGGACCCCGCATTCACCATATCCGCTCCCCCCGGACCCCGCATTCACCATATCCGCTCCCCCCGGACCCCGCATTCACCATATCCGCTCCCCCCCCCGGACCCCGCATTCACCATATCCGCTCCCCCCGGACCCCGCATTCACCATATCCGCTCCCCCCGGACCCCGCATTCACCATATCCGCTCCCCCCGGACCCCGCATTCACCATATCCGCTCTCCGCGGACCCCGCATTCACCATATCCGCTCTCCCCGGACCCCGCATTCACCATATCCGCTCTCCCCGGACCTTGCATTCACTATATCCGCTCTCCCCGGACCCCGCATTCACTATATCCGCTCTCCCGGACCCCGCATTCACCATATCCGCTCTCCCGGGACCCCGCATTCACCATATCCGCTCTCCCGGACCCCGCATTCACCATATCCGCTCTCCCCGGGACCCCGCATTCACTATATCCGCTCTCCCCGGACCCCGCATTCACTATATCCGCTCTCCCCGGACCCCGCATTCACTATATCCGCTCTCCCCGGACCCCGCATTCACTATATCCGCTCTCCCCGGACCTTGCATTCACTATATCCGCTCTCCCCGGACCTTGCATTCACTATATCCGCTTTCCCCGGACCCCGCATTCACTATATCCGCTCTCCCCGGACCCCGCATTCACTATATCCGCTCTCCCCGGACCCCGCATTCACTATATCCGCTCTCCCCGGACCTTGCATTCACTATATCCGCTCTCCCCGGACCTTGCATTCACTATATCCGGTCTCCTCTGACCCCGCATTCACTATATCCGCTCTCCCCGGACCCCGCATTCACTATATCCGCTCTCCCCGGACCCCGCATTCACTATATCCACTCTCCCCGGACCTTGCATTCACTATATCCGCTCTCTCCCCAGGCCCCGCATTCACTATATCCGCTCTCCCCGGACCCCGCATTCACTATATCCGCTCTCCCCCGGACCCCGCATTCACTATATCCGCTCTCCCCGGACCCCGCATTCACTATATCCGCTCTCCCCAGGCCCCGCATTCACTATATCCGCTCTCCCCGGACCCCGCATTCACTATATCCGCTCTCCCCGGACCCCGCATTCACTATATCCGCTCTCCCCGGACCCCGCATTCACTATATCCGCTCTCCCCGGACCCCGCATTCACTATATTTGCTCTCCCCGGACCCCGCATTTACTATATCTGGTCTCCCCAGACCCTGCATTCACTATATCCGCTCTCCCCGGACCCCGCATTTACTATATCTGGTCTCCCCAGACCCTGCATTCACTATATCCGCTCTCCCACAGTACACAGAATATAGAAATGCAATTATTTTACTAAATATCAACTACTAAATCCCTTTTCTCATCAGCAGTATATAGCAGTCCTGTGACTTCT